ACAGGGTGCCACTAGCTGCCACTAGCTGCCACAGGGTGCTACAGGGTGCCACTAGCTGCCACTAGCTGCCACAGAGTGCCAACTAGCTGTCACAGAGTGCCACAGGGTGCCACTAGCTGTCACAGAGTGCCACAGGGTGCCACTAGCTGTCACAGAGTGCCACAGGCTGCCACTAGCTGCCACAGAGTGCCACAGGCTGCCACTAGCTGCCACAGGGTGCTACAGGGTGCCACTAGCTATCACAGAGTGCCAACTAGCTGTCACAGGGTGCCACTGGATGCCCCAGCGTGCCACAGGGTGCCACAGAGTGCCAAAGGGTCTCTGTTTCCAGCCAAATACTGGGAGGTAGTTTTGCTAAAGCATCACATATTATTTTTGACAAGCCTGAGGGAGTACACATGCTTTCTTCATCTATCTCATGTGTACTTACTATTTGGCAGCGTTGGAGGAAAAAGAAAATCCAAGTAATACAATATGAAAACAACTAGCGTTATTCTCGCTCTGGAGTGAACAGGTATCTGGCTAACTCAAGATGCAGCAAGTTTCAAGAGTTAGTTTTCCCCTTTGGGATGCTCCACTTTGTGAGAACACAGTATGGTTTTCCCATTATCAAGCAGTCAAGGAAAGCTGACACAAACCTTTTCCTACTTCAAGCCTTCCGCTTCCAAATGTTTGAGGGGTACTGGGGAATCTTTTTCAAAAATGTCTCACCTCAAAACTTGACTAAACATGTTTCAGTCGTCATCACAGAATGATACATATAGATACTGCGACAAATGAAGATGCATTACCACTTTCTCTATGGCTGCTGCTTCTTCTCTAGGCATTCGGTCTAGAAAGTCATTGTAGTGCTTGAGTCCTATTTTCTGAGTGTTGCTCAGGTGAGCTTTTGTGCGGATATCCTCCAATGTGCGAAATCCCTAAAAGAGAATAACATTTTAAGAAAATCTTCAAAGACTACAGAATGTTATTTATTAAACATTGCCTCCCATTTCCTTCTTGCCATAATTATTAATTTAATTAGGATTGAATATATAGCCCACAGCTTAATTTCTATTCCTTAAGGTTCTGATGAAGATCACACAACTCGTTTTTTATTTCTGTTATCTTTTCATAAAGCACAGTATTACCAAGCAATAAAAGCCCCCAATGAAGAAGCTCCTAAGTAAAAGGGACCCATAGCCCGACAGATACTGGATTTTTGAGGACAATGCAGAAATATTTTAGAGCTTAGATAATCCAATAATGATCTAACCATTTTAACATCTGTAAACAAATATTTTAGAAAAGGATCTCTTAAATTTGATTTTTAAAGCGTTAGGGTTAGGGTTAGTACGGAGTGGGACATTTTATAATTTAAAAATATATGTCAGTGCTCTCTGGTGGACAAATTATTTATTGGAAACACCATTTCTTATGCCTCAAACATATCTTTGGCCTTTCTGCACTGCCATTTCTTGTTACTTATGCAAATACCAATTTATAGGAAATAAGCTAATATCGGTAATATAACGACCCAGCTATCTTATCAGTCAGTCTGTAAACCAGAATGTTAATCTGGACTGTATTTCTATTGTCTTACATATCTTTTACTACAAGTAGATATCTTGTCACCGTGTTGTAAACTGTACATTGATGTGAATAGCATATGGGTAAATAAAACTTCAAGTATGTCGGCATTATTTTAATTCAACGTGTGTGTATGCCTTACCTGTTGGTACCACAACTGTGCAGTTTTAACTCCTGCACCCCAGATGTTACTAAAGAGCTCCAACACAGGCACAGCCTCTCCAATGTGATCTAGCTTTCGCAGGTGGCCGCTTTCCATGATCTCATCAATTTTGTCGGCCATGCGTTTTCCAATTCCTGGGATCTGACAAGCCTCCTAAAACAAACGAAAAAAAGCCTGTTAAAGACAGGAATATACGCAAAATAATCCCCGTATCGTGGACTTTAAATAAACTGTGTATTTACCTTTTTTACAACAAAAACTACATGCCACTACCAACAACATAATATTAAAAGCATCTGCTATAGGTTACCTGATATGATGTAATAGGCTTATGGTAACTCTTCAGTGCGTTTATAGCTTTAGAGTAGCCCAGTGCCCTCCACTTGTCCCCCTGGTGTGTGTACGCCTTTGCCAGGACTTCTAGTTTGTCTGTGATGTGCTTGTTGAAGTTGTGATTTTTGGATTGAGAGGACTGGGCACAGACCCACTTCCCTGAGACCAGCTTCTGAGCTGCTGAGTCTGGACCAGGATCAAGACTGGGGCCGGGAGTCTCCTCTTTGGGGTGCTGGCCAGTGATGAGTGCTTCCAGATCACTCTGAGAGACCCCGTCTTCCTCTCCTTGCACTTCCTCTTTGGTGTCTGGGACTGTCTGAGAGTAAAATGTAATGTAAAGCTATAATAACAATCCAACACACACTGACTTTTGATGTGTTTAAGGTCTAGCTTCTGTCCCAAATTCCCTAAAATGATAAATGACTGAAAGACTTACTTCATAAGAAACCTGTAAAACTGTGTTTTCTACACATGACCTGGAAACCTACCATGTCTATGGTCTCCTCTTGATTGTTTTGATCCGACACTGGCTGCACAGATGGCTTGACATTTGGCAACTCTTCTTTAATATTTTCATGACGTGTTTCAGATTCCCTAAGTAGAGAGAACATTAAGAGATGTGATAAGAGCGACGACTCATTGAATTTTCTACTATATATCTGTTGTCTCAATGTATGCAGTTTTGTAAATACTTTGAAGTGGCAAAAGTGATGAAGTGAAGTGACGTGAAGTGAAGATGAAGTGAAGTGAAAAGTTGATTTGCATTCACCATGGCTTGCTCCTATGTAGTGTATTGACAAGCATAGATAAACTGGTAACATCATGAGATTAACGACATCTTCCAGAAATTAGCATTCTAAAAAGTACTATTAGGTCATGAACCTCTTGGGTAGAAGAAGGCTGTAGCTGTCAACATCCAGCATTTGTTTCTCACTGATGCACAGGCTCAACCAAGTACATTTCAGCAGGTGGACTCCTGAGGGCATGTAATCTACTTTCAGTAAGCGCAGAGCCCTGTCGATATTCATGTTGTCATCCACAACAACATGAGTGACACTGGGACACAGTGAACTCTCCGTCTGTCCTCCATTCTGCTGAATTTGTCTTTGGAAGATCTGGTATCTGGCATTTCCTATTCCAGCAGGCAGGATGTACACAGTGACACCATTAAAAGTGTTTCCTGGGACAGAAGTAAGGGAACACGTTACATTGAGCAAATATGTTGCATATTGTGGCTTCTTCTTTTTATTCACAAATTTTCATCCACACACACGCAAAAAAAAAAACCAGTACCAACCTGTCACATCACATTCATCAGGTTTCTTCTTTACTGGGGGAGCATCCTTTCCGTGTAACGCTTTGGCTCTTTTAACTTTCGGGAATGCTTTCATAATCCCGTGACGACACTCCATCTTGTCTCTTAAAGGGGGCGCCAGTGACCTGCAATATGAAGCAAAATGAAGTTATCTATAAATGAGAGAAAAACTCATTCACAAATCTGGAAAGTGTATACAACTAACGGTACACTATACTATACTTATTCTCATAGTGTCAGAGTAACATAATATATAGTGGGTTCACACTGGAAAATTGATTTTAGTATTACATAATGGGAAAACATTTTTTGGGATGCTATTTGTTTGTTATTTTGGATTCTGCTGTGGTTTTCAAAGTAACAGTTTGATAGCAGTGCAATTACACTGTAAAATACAACATTAAAGTCATGCATTCAAAAAGGTAATTAAGTATGTAAGTATTATCATCTAAATGTACTTAAGTATCAAAAGTAAAAGCAGAAGACAGAGTGCCCCCAGCCAGTCTTATATTACTAAATGTTATATTCGCTTATTTTATTTACTAATGTATTAATGTGTAAGTTGCATGTTAAGGTTGTATCTAGTCGTTTGAGCTAATTTTAACGACATTAATCTTTTTATTTAACAACACATGAATATTGTTAACATGATCATGTTGAAAGCATCAATCTTCAAAGTAACTAATAGTAACTGTAACGTTAGCTGTAATATGAATGTAGTAAACAATACAATAATTACCTTTGAAGTGAAGTAAATATTTGAATAACGTTATAATGTAGCATAATATCAACACACTAAACTAAAGTACAAGGACCTCAAATTAGTTTTTCCACAATACTGAACTAAACATACTTTGTGCCATTCCACCACTGCAATTGGATTGACGCTTGTCATATCAAATAACGTTACCGTAGTTAGAACAAAACAGCAAAGTACATTTATCGTACAGCTGCTGTGAGTTGTCAACAAGATCAATTAAGATAGGTTAAGACACAAGCTGAGAAATCAGTATTTCTTACCGCAACATAGTGTTAGCTAACTTGAATAACGTTAACTAACGTTAATGTTACCTTTTAACGTTACGTTAGCTTATGATGGTTTGAAACAGACAGTATTTAGACTATTTCAACTATCATTTTACTCCATATTTAAAGAATTCAAACATATCCATATAATTGCACATTTTAAGCAGAAAACACTTTAAACTGTAATTTTTTGGCTCTTACCCCCGTTCTGGTGGATGGAACTAGAGCCCTGAATGTAACCATATGCACGCCGGAAAACAATACAATACAAACATTTCACTTCCGGGTCAATTATTTGTTTTAGTTTTGTTTAAAATGAATCTACATATTACAACTTTGTTGTTTGTTAGTCATTTTACGATGAAAATGATTTGTCAATTCTCTTAATATTTTCCTTTTTAATGTGTGTATCGACCTCGGTTGCTGTGGTTACGGGTTGAGTCCGGAAGTGGCCCCGTGCCAGAAACATCTTTAGAAACATGGCTGTGAAAAGCTGGATTGATATCCTAAAATCGTCAAAGAAAACAGCTTTGATACACGATGGTGAGTAACTAAAAAAGAAGAAAAACACTTTTATTGCTTTTTTTTTGCATCTGTCAACTCGCCAGAATGACGCCTCATTGCAACATAGCTAGCTTCCCAGCTAACAGGATTGTTACTAGGCGACAGGCAGGTGGTACAACGGACGCAGAAGCATATTACACACGTTGTTTTACTATAAACAGACACTGGAAAAACAGTAAGATATCTATAATTTATCAACAACACGTTGCCAATATAGCATATACAGTTTCTGAAAAGCTGTGTCCTAAATGTGAAGCATGTAATGCTTACTAATTGTGAGATGTGTCTGATCCCTTTATCCATCCATTTTCTGTTTACCGAAATTAACATAACAGCTGTTTTTATTTAACCAAATATGAATTAAATGTTGTACTCGTATGATCACATGTAATGCTGGATTAGCACTGAAGCTAGATGACTTGTTTTTGCTAAACTAGAAATAGAAACATTACAGTTGGTAACATTATAGTTTTCTGTTTGTTTTGTGTGTGTGTGTGTGTGCGTTGGTTTTGTATGATAAATCTTTACACAATCCACCTCCAGGAAAAAGAAAGATCCACTACCTCTTTACAGATGGAAAAGAAATGGCAGAAGAGTATGACTTGAAAACAGATGAGCTCACTGGTAAGCAACAGTTTTGAGTTTTACACAGCAGCATCTAAAGTAGCTGCTGGCGTTTTGACTTTCAATGGCATAAGTTTATGTTTCTTATAAAGCGTTTGGTACTTTTCAGTACGAAAGTGGCGTCATAAAAGCCCCCTTGGAGCTCAGGGCCAATGGCAGGTAGAGGTTGGGGAGCCACTTGCAGACCCTGTCACTTCTTTGGATCCGGAGGTGATCAAGGAGAGCTGCTCCAATGTGAGTTCTTCTATGTTCTCTTTGACTTTAGAGTTAAAGTTGAACCACTTAATTTCATTTTCTATTTTTGTTTGTTTTATATCACTCTTAGTTTTAGGGAAAACACTAGTAAATGTCATGTCTGTAAAATGGATTTTTTCTGTTTCCACAGCCTGTGTTCACGCGCAAAGACACAAAGACCAGCTTTCAGTGGAGAATCCGCAACCTTCCCTACCACAAAGATGTCTTCAGTGTTTCTGTGGAGCCGTCTGAGAGATGCATCATCATAAAAACCTCAAACAAAAAGTAAATATGAATGACAATGCTTTTCTGGTTCAATGGTTCTTTTCATGCCTGTGTTGTACCATAGACTGTATATAAAAAGTGTTGTACACTTGTGTGTTGTAATCCATGAGTCCTCCCTATAGATGGCACTGTTTACAATACATTAGTCTATACAGTGCTGTGATAAACTCATGAGATCCTTTCCATGTCTTATGTCTCTGGCAGGTATTATAAGAAGTTTGTTGTTCCTGATTTAGATCGCAGTCAGCTGCCATTGGACAGCTCTGCAATCAGCTTCACTCACTCCAACAACACTTTAATTGTCAGCGTAAGTCCTATAAAACAATTAAAATAAATTAATCTATATCTCTACTGTTACCTAATGCTTTAAATAGAATGTTGACTGCAGGGACCCAAACAGTATCATCTCTGCAATCTGAATAATAAATAAAAACAATATACAAAATTACTTACTATACTTTTAAAATAATATTTGTATCCATAAATGTTTAACTTATTAATGCATTTTATGCAAATTATGAGGATGCGATACCTGCCTTTTTTTTCTTAGATTTTGTCCTCCAGGTTTTCCTCTGTGCACCTGTCACTTACTCCACAGTTTTTTGACATTACAACAATATCAGTGTTGTGATATTTGCCTTACATTTTCAGCACTCTTTCGACATGATGACAGTGAGAGATTTGCAGGAGGGAGGCAAGGAGAATGGTGAAGTAATTATTTTTCTTCTCTCTTGTCTAGTACAAGAAACCCAAGGAGATCTTAACCCTTGAACAGGAGCTACTGAAGGAGCTGAAGAAACTGAAGGGGACTGGTGAAGGGGATGTCGATTGCAAAACTCAGTGAATTCTGACTGTGGGAGCAAGAGAATAAGTTGCATTTAAAGCAGAGCATCACTGCATCATTTTCCCGTCACATTTAAGCTCTCTTTTATTTGTCTTTAGTGGATCCCTTCATTAAGAAGACCTTTGCGTAGTGCCTTGTCAATGGTTAAATGCTTCCAATTGTGTTTTCTAATTGGTGTCCCTTTATTAGAGTTGTTAGTGTTTAAAGTGGTCCTGCCATTTATATTTGATACTCACAACCATATTTATTAACTTTGTAGCTGAACCATGAGCGATTTGAAATTATATTACAACGGTGTCTATTTTTGCTACTTGTTACCAAACCTACTAGGGAGCAATTTTGATTGGGGTCACATAACCTACCATCCTCCATTCATTGATGTCCTTGTAAAACACTCAAAACACACAATGCCTCATCCCTGTTCGTTCCGGGGTCACTGTTACGAGCACATCCCATTTGTGTTAACTGAATACCCTCATGTTCCTTGCATGTAGTGGGCCACCCTGAAAGCCATTACTGAAACTTTGGTAAGCGAGCAAGCTAGTGTTACTGTTTCCCTTTACAGAGGGTCACTCTGACTCTGTGGTCTCTAGCTAAAACTCCATAGAGCCAAGTTAGAAATAGGTGCCACAGTTACAGAGCTTTGTTCCAAATGGATTTCATGTTATTGTCTGACAAAGACAAATATAAAGACAGTATTTCAAGTGTTTGGATTTTAGAAGTTTATGTGTATATGACATGTAAAGAAGAATTATAGAGATACATGCTTCAAATGGGATATTTGTCTGCTTTTTCCACCAAGTTTAATTAAGACAAACACTGTCCAGTCAGAAATACTTAGACAGTGGATATAAAAAGAACAGCGTTGTTTTAAAGAGACAATGGCATTTAAATATAGATTGTTGAAACCTTGTGATTCCTTGCATTTTTTACCACTTGTCCAAACCCGGAGAGCAAGTGCAAAGAGCAAAGACAAAACCACAGGTCTCTCTCACTATTGTGCTTTGTCTTCTTCCAGATGGAAAGAATATGAATACAAGAAAACATTGTAAACCCAGCCTGTCCTGTTGTTTTGCAAATTTTTGTGAGGGACTTGATGGATTTTTTTTTTTAACTTTGAAAAATGCATTTATAAAATACTTGATTAAGTAGCATTTGCCTGTTTGGTTTTTTAAGAGGTGCACCCTTAATAACACTTAAATAAATCACGCAAGAAGTATATTCTGTAGAGCAGATGTCCTAAATACCAAATATTCATTCTGAGATCTTAATTGTGGTAATTTACTTTTATGCTTTACAGTCTTCAGAGCTCAAGCTGCTGTCAAAACAAATTCCTGCAGCAGCAAACACCAACTAGCAAATTGGACATCCCGCTCATGCACTGTGAGAGCAGCTGAGTCCCTCTGTTCAGGGTCTTCTTCCTCCCCTGTCGTTTGGCCTCTGGTGGTCATGCTCAACTGCTTCTGGGAAGAGAGTTTCTTTTCTACCTCCCTTTTATTCCCGAATGCCTCTTCCCAGCCATTCCCCCTCTTTCAGCCGATGCCACATTTTGCCACACAGGCCCTGATGCTTTTTCTACAACCCCTCCGCTCCCTCTCTGCAAACCCCCCTCGTTCCAACCCTTCACCCCTCCCTGTGTGACTGGCTTCTTTTTGATAACTGACCCCTCCTCGTGTTATTATTCGAACCCACTATTGTATAACATGCCCTTTTATATGAGGTTTCACAAAGGGCCCATTTGATCAGAGGGTTACGGTGTGCGATCGTGAGAAATGCAACTACATGGTGGTAACCTTTGTTTGGGCCAAAATGGTGGGCTGACCTCATCGCTTTTAATGCATAGCTCGGGCCATTCAGGCCCAAGTCTCACTTGCTGAGCACATTGAATTCAGTAGCCTGTCACAGATATTGCCCCTCAGTTATCTGGGTCTCCAGCTTCAAAAAGAAGAAGGAGAAAAAAAACAACAGTTTTGGGGGGCAACCAACAATCTATGCTAGCTTTCCATCCCAAAACAAGTACACAAGAGAAGCAGCTCATGAACTGATTCTTTAGTGGTTTTAATATACACTCTACAATAAATATTTCCATCATTTGACGTCATTTACATTTTTACAGTAAAAATATATTCATATATGTATATAATGGCCTCCTAAAGACAAGATAGCATGTCAACTGAGACTCAGATGCTGTAACCACAAGAAAATCCACATATAGCTGCCGTGTCTAGCTTCATTGTACTCATTTCTCTTTTAAACATTCTTTTATTGCTGAGCTGGGGAACTTCTAACCAAAAGGTTTTCATTCATGACAATATTGTTGAGGTCTTCAGTACTTTAAATGACCCTTGATTTAATAAGTAAAATCTGTCCTAAAGTCTGTCTGAATTGGAAATAACTAGCAGATTAGATAATCAATGGTTACATACAATCCAGTACAAAGAATTACACAAAGAAGTCCACAAAATGAGGCAAAAGGTGTATGGGCACTTGACTGTAAAAGTTCATTTCTCTGGGAGCACTTGTTTTCTCTTGTAGTGGTTCTTCTGTGCTGGTTCGTCCACAGTTCTCCTTCAGTGGTTTCAATCCTCAGTGGCCCCCTGTGCGCTGGTGATGGGAATGTTTAGTCCGCTTGCTGAAAGGGTGCATGGGGACAGCCAGAGGAAGGACATCAAATGGTCTCTTCTCGCTCAGCAAGTGCCCCCTGGGTAGACGCTTCATGAAGTGGGCCTCCCTCTGGTGCTGCTTGGTCTTGGAGGCCTTCCTCGGACGGCCCTTGCGTGTGAAAGCCATGTACCAGCCTTCGTACTTGGCGTTCTGGAGTGCTGTGTAGTTGTTTTCCAGAACAATCTCTGTGAAGATGCAGTCTTTGCCTCGTCCTTTCCGCTGGGAAAGGAAAAAAAGGGGGGGGGGGGTTATTTTGAACAATTTCCAGGAAGTGGAATCATCGTCATTTTTTATTTCCAGACAATCAAATACCTTTTAAAACCTTAAGAGGGCCTAATTTCAAAATCAAATTTGTTCTGACTGTGAATGTGTCGCCATAAGCTTCAAATGTGGAATAACATTTCCAAGAAACAAACTTCAACATGTTGCTTCAGTCATATGCAGCCACAACACAATGAATTCCAGATTACCTTGCCGATCAGCTTCCCCCTCTTGTTCATACATATGTAGTATCCTGTCTTCACCCCTTTAATGCGAATGCGACTTCCAAAAGAGTCCGTCTCCACCTCCAGTTTAGCTGCACAGACAAAACGGATCCCCAATAATGAGATGACACAGTTCTGACATGGGGCAGGCATGCAGATTATGATGTTACAGTGTGTGAGAAAAATGAGCTCTATTCTTTATGCATGCTAGACACTGTAATAAACTTGAATTACATCGTGTCATCATTAAATGGCATTAAATCGTTGTGATGATCCTGACCAGTGAACCAGAATCATGAAGATGACATATAAATTCCCTCTTAATCCCTTTATGATCCAGTGGCTGCCTTTAACAAAGCAAGAGAGCCTTCCAAAATAGCACCAAATGATAGTGATTTTGCACGGCGGGATTGTTGCTGAATGTCTGTAAATGCTGTGCTGTGATGCAGTTCAGACTGGGGATAAAGGAGAGTGAGAATACTGCGGTCAGGGACACAGCCACAAGCACAGAGCAGCGGTCAGATTTGGGCCAGTTACAAGAGTGACACCCACTTAGGATGTGTAGCACATGTGTGTATGACTGAGTCTCATTCCCTCTGTGCGAATGTGTGTGTAGGCCGAGAAATTTAAAAGACAAAAGAGCACACAGGAGAGGCAAGGAGAGGAAAAGGTATAAAGTGAAGATGCTGACTTCACCGCTCCTTATAAATTGAGTCATACATTGAGTTGCAATGCAATGAAAATTCCTCATAAAATGAGCCTCCAAAAAGCAGGCATTGAGAAGTGGATGGATGGTGGTGGCTGTGGTGGAAAGATGGCTAGACACACAAAAAATCCTCTGGTGACAGGAATTCTGCTCCCTTTACATTTAAGCCTTAACCTTTTTTCCGTGCTAGAAGTAAACAAGAAAGTCTCTCCCTAAAGTCCATCATAACAGGTGTCAAGGGCTTTCTGGACTACTAACACACTAAAGAAATAAATCACCTTCATAAGGCCATAAAAATAGGCAACACTGATGCCACTAACGATGTTTACAATCGCTACTGCTGTTTCTCCTGGCTCAAACATTTTCCAACAGGCTGCCAAAAACGACATAATTTATACTGCTTTTCAACACTGCCCCGCGCACCATTGAATTTAAACAATTCCCCTGTTTGTAAGACGAACATGTTTCCTATTTTATCATTTTCCTGAGGTTTAAAGGCATTGAAATGTAAGAAACGATGGCCTTTAGCTGTCATTTAGTGTTTAGCTGTTTGGATTGATCTGGCCATAACACCAGGGACTGAAAGTAAATTTTGCTTAATCATTTCAGAGACAATAAAAATGCTCTCCCTGAATGGATTAACATATGTGGACTTTTGTACAGCTATTTATTATATAGCCGTGTGTAAGTATGTAATTATACAAGCCACTTCACGTATGGGTTTTGCTAGGCTATTTACAAAAATGTTCAAAGGGTAATTAACATGACGTAGGCCTAGGCCTATTCTCGCGATAGTCTTCATATTTCTCTCATAAATTGACGTAACTGCCAACGTCCTGCTGCCTAGGAAGAATTGTAGTGGTTAAATGGAGACTGAAAAATGATTTTAGTTCATATAAATAGTGTCATTAGGTCTTATAATAATTTCTAAATCACTTATTAGGTCTTATAATCATTTCTAAATCACATCCCTCTCTGCTGGCCTTATTCTCCGCTCCCTTTTTTTCTTACCGTGCACCGCTCCGTCGTCTCCGTTGGCGTTGACCCTCTTGTTGGCCAGGACCTGGACATGCTTCCCGCTGGTGCGGCTGTACAGCTGGTAGGTTCGTGTCAACCTGCGGCTCATCCGGTCCGACAGCCGGCTCTGCTCGGTAACATGGTGCTTGAAATTTGGAGGAGACTGCACAGTGTTCTGTCGGACGATATAGGAAACACATGTCATGAAATACGAAATGACTTTTTAATTTCACCCTGCAACTCGGGGAAACCCTAAAAAAAAGTCAGCTGTGAGGAGAGTAAAGCTTGCCAGTCAAACAGCCAAGGCCCAGGCCCACAGTTCGCTGTGCCATTCATCACTTTTAAATATCCTAATTCGTCCTGATTTTTCTAATTTCATTTATTTGTAGACGCACAGTGTCTTTTTGGAGATGCTTTCATGGACCCTCGGGGGTGACATTTCCCTCTGATGGGTTGTTTTTTTGCCACCGATGATCTTTCACCCCTTCTTGACTTCTTCTTTTCTCATTTCAGCCGTTCTCCATCCACATGTGTTTTAACAATCACTTTTTTAGGCTGAAGCTTACCTCTTTTCAAGATGTTTGAATTGTTGCCAATTGCCATAGCACTCATAATAAAATGTTTTCATTGTTATTGCAGCCTATTGCAGATGTAGAGACGTTGAACTATACGCCGCTAAGCACGGCGCCTACATATCCGTTAACTTTTACCTACCCAATTATAGTACTTTACGCAACATTAATGCATTTTATTGAAGTGAAAATCTGAGTTACCTGTGCGTAAAAGCAAAGCGCCGTGAACTGAATTAACCTGAGGGAAGAAAAGAAAAGAAAATTAAAAAGTCTAACCTGTTGCTCCAATTCAGTGAATTCCATAGGCAACTATATTATCTTGACACTTCTTTACTTACAGATAACCTAACCTCGATGTTCTCAGCCTCATCTTGTAATAGTTCAAATATTGCTTCATGAATACTCCACTGATTCGGTGCTGGAAGCTCTTGGAAATAAAGTTCCTCCTGATGGGGATTTCAGATCCGTTTTTATCCCCTTCTTGTTACACATAGAAGGTGATAGCCGTGGCAATTAAGAGATCCAAAACTGTCAGGGTCCCATGCCGGTGCAGGATCCAGACTCCACTCTGCTGGTACAGTAAAATAAAAGGCGCTGCCAATCCAAACTGAAAGTCCGGAGAAAGTGTCGCTGTCACCAAACGACCTCCATCAAATCCTCTTCGTGTCAACCACTCCCCGAGTAATGAAGGTCGTGCTTAAGGTTTCAAGTCGAAATAAATCCTCTCTGACTTTCAATGACGGATCAATTGCGATTGTTTTTAGTTTTACGCACGGATCTTTGCGCATCAGCGGTCAGATGCGCACTGTGCATTTTCGCTAAAAGTTGGGGATTCAATTAAAGAAATGTTGAATGAATCCCGCTGGCTTTATTTGTTTTCCGTGCAGTTGCAGCAATGGTGCTACAGCTATCCCTCTCTAAGATGCACAGATTGTACAACTCCAACGTCAACCTTCCTCCCACACGTGTATTTCTTGTGGTCGCCTGCAGTCCACACACAGCATCTGTCTCCCTCTACATTTAAATACTTTAACTTGCGGGAAAGTCAATATCCTCGGCGAGAGCAGGCGGAGCATTCGAGCTGGAGCCAATTTGAAATTGAATACTTATTAAAACACTTTGCCTGCACCCATTTGCTTACACATCTACAGACACAGCATTCATCAATACTTTAAATGTAACAACATATACAAAAATATAAACTGCAGTCAATCATTAATAGAGCAGCTTATTAATATGCAGGTTAGAGCCACTCACAAAAAAATCTAATCAGCAGTCTTCCAGAATGTTTTTAAGGCATTTATTCACAATAATAGACATTCATCTCAATCATGCACATGTCATGATATTACTGTGTCTTCATCCATGTAAAATCACAGCTGAAGCTGAAATGTCTACATGGAAAAATTCCCTGGCATGTACTGCAGGTTAGACGTTGTTTGGTGGTCCCTCAGGACAGACCTTGATGTACTTTTTCATCCTACATATGTAAGTAATATGTATTTCATGTGAACACATGACACAAAATGGTTTTCACATAACATCTAAAGCCTTTTCTTTGGATACAAATGCTCTCTCACTCACAATCCTTCTCCCATAACGTTTCCCAATCCTGGTTTGATTGTCAAAAGTGTGTCCTGGGCCTGGTCTGCTACTTTCGCAGCATGGTTTCATACACTACATCATGCAATTATATTGTAATTATTCTTCCTGACAACAAAGCGGCAGGGCTTTCTTCAAGGGAACATGACTGTTACACATTCGTCTGATAGGGAAGAAAGGGGGCGGTTGTAACATGGGACACTTAGAACTCTGCCTGTCAGGAACAAATTTAAAACTTGATCAATCGTGTAGAAGGCCTTTTCAATCCAGCACAAGAAGATAGCAGCAAATAAAGATTTTGAAATAGCTTTTCCCCCTCTAAATCAAGTACATTTTTGGATAAGAGTCACACTCTCTCACAGCTTGTAATATAACTGAAGTATCGCATTTGAAATACCAGTAGTATAATTTTAATCTAGATTATGTGTACCCCAAAGATGGAACATTTTACCACCAGTGCCAAAGTGTTCATTTCTGTCTTTACTTAGATAAGATAAAATAGCTGTCTTTCTATTTGGTGTAGTGGTGTGTAATGTGATATTTGCACCAGAGTTTAAAGGATAATTTAACTTAAATAAGTGAGGACATATGAATGGAAGTCTGAAACAAAGGTTACGCTCAACCCATTCTCTCAATTGTTTGAGTGTGTACAGATGAAATAAACATTGAGAGCGTCATTCACAAATTGTGAAAAACTGAGAGAAACTGCACAGGCCAAAGCTGAACACACGAAATGGTTCTAAAAAACATCTTTCACCTCCTTCCAAATTACTTGTCCTCTTGACACCAAGAGTGAAACACATTTTAGGTAACATCAGTGTCCAAATGCACGCTTTAAATCAGAATTGAAGTGTTAATCTTACTGTCTTCAAGCCTCACATCAGATTATTATCCTAACAAGCCAAAACCAACTTTTGGACATTGACTCTTACCTGTGAGTGTTCTCAAATGCAGGCCCATATTGTCTGTATGAACAGTATGGGAAACTTTTGCACCTTTCACACAGAACAGCTTTACCAGAGTATACTATATATATAATTATGTGAGTTTGGTCAATGTCCTAGCTGTAAATCAGTCATTTCAGCCAATGCAGGGGATTTAGAGGGTGAAAATGGACCTGCCTTATTAGTTCCAGCGGGACGCTGCATCAAGTGATTTTGCCACCTGGAACAATTCAGCACTTTGTTCTTTCATATTTTGACCCCTATGAAGCACTGATCACACATCCAAATATGAAATCCACATGCGTGGTAATTAAAGAGATTGAGTTTTATGAAGACCACACAATGACTCATCAAAAGTGCATGTTTGACTGTCTGAATCCACAGATGAGCTCTGTCACGAGTCATTGAAAGAGAATTTGATTAAGAAGAGGACACCTGGAGTCCTCTAGATGGTGGGTCTCTGTATATTTAAAACCCGCTCTAACACTCTAGTGTGCATAACTCAAATGTAACTTTATTTTTTTGGAGCAAAGTTAAACACACATATTATTATTTTTTTATTTTCTCATGTCCCATAGCATACTATAGCTCATGTCTGATTAAAATTGGATGAATGAATATCATGGGTTGATTATCAGTACAGTGGTTTGATGGAAATAATCAAAATTTCTGTTCTCTATATTTTAGAGAACATGAATGTTCAGTCATCAGGTGGAACCTTCGGCTCTCTGAAACCCCTTCAATTGTTAATTTTCCAGCCATATCTGTCTCATGCAAAATATACAGATACATGAATCAATTCTATCCACTAAAATGTTCAGATCTGTCGACATTCCCTATTCAGACAGTCTCACATGCGGGAAAGTGAGACACAGTTTCATTGCATCTCTCTAAGATACTTGCCAGCTTGCTTCCTTGTCTACTCTTGTCATGGCCTTGGGTCAGCCAAGACCAGACAATGGCACAAGTCCTGGGTCTTGATTGCTAAAAAAGCTGTCTATTTCCCACAGTGATAGCTGACAATAACAGCCAGTGGGGACATTTGAGAAGAATTCAAATATCTCTTTTTTTAAGACAAAATGAGGGTTGCATGATATGGTACAAAAATCCTATTGCGATGATTTTGACAGATTTTACAATTTGTGGTATGACTCACGATTAGTGGGAATGATCATTTTTGCATCAAAGTTTTCATTTTCACTGAAAAACTATGAAGTCATGATGATGTGACATTTGTTAGGGTCTGTACCAAACATGTGGCGAACAAGATGTAGTTCGGGTCATCTCTGCAGCTCAAATTGCAACCTCTACGATTTGGATATTGCAACTTGGCCATATTGTGATTTTGATAATATTTCAATTAATTGTGCAGCTCTAGACAGAATGTGCACTAAACGACCTGTGTTTGTGAGTATGCTGCCTGAAGATAAACATAGCTTGTTAATGTGTGATTCTATATAATCAGTGTTGTTTTTCTCTTATTTAGTTGAGGGCAGTCAATCATGTGAAGTGAGTGAATAGCTAAAGAGTTTATGACAGAGGAAATTAGTATTAATTTTGTTGATAGTGCCACTTGTATTGATACAGAAAAATCCACACTGGTATCCTTACTGAATCTGACCTATGTTCTTAAAGGAATAGATCGACATTAAACTCTCATATCTATACACCTTGGTTTTGACACCTCGTTTTTTGTATGGATTAAGTAAAGATACATGGTGTTAATTAGTGAGTATTAGAGCTGCTGGTGGTATTTCTTTACCTTCAGACAGAGCCAGGCTAGCTGTTTCTAGTCTTTATGCCTAGCTTAGCTAAGCTAATCAGCTGCTTGCTGTAGCTTCATAAGTAGCGAAGAGACACTAGCGTGAAAATGTTGAATTATTCCTTTAATTTTACTCTTAGTCTTAGCTAGTTATTCTCACATACAGTATCTTCCCTGCAGTTTTTTCTGCTTTAAAAAACTTGAGTGAGAACATTTGGTCCAGTACTGTACAGTCCATACATCTCTTTCACTTCACTACAGTCTACAACAGCCACTTATAATTTAGAAACAATTCCATCTCTGCAAACGTAAATGACATTTTGTTAAAGTGTCCTGTCAGACAGGTTTGGCTAAAATTATCCAGACTGTACATGAAAGTTTCCTCTGAAACACGATCAGAAGCTATCATTTTTTATTCTAGTTTTTTACATACCTAACTGTCAGCTGGCTCACTCCTGAGATTCTCTAGTGACCGGCTTTTCTGGCCTCTTAATGAGTTTGAGAAGAGTTGACACAGGTCCAGGTTTTGCCCCAGATCCCGAGTCTTTTGCTTTTTCTCTTAGTCTCCCAATGCTGCTTTTCTCATTTGGATCACAGTTTGCTAACTAATGCAAGGCCCTGCTATCAGCGAATGAGGTACAAAAAAAGCAATCACTGGACGCTGTGAAAAAGAAATCACACAGAGGAACCTTTTGGCAAAGAAGCGCATTGGTTATTCTTAGAAGAGGAGTGACTGAATGTCTGAAAAGGCCCCAGAGTAGACTACCATTCAGTGAGAGGTATTATTCCCCCTAGCTAATGTGAGACATAAAAATACACACTCTTGCATAAGACAGAGCCAATGGAAAGGTAGACACCATAGAGGAAGAGAAAAAAAACAGAACCAGAGAGGAAGACTAGAGTGTGTTTGGGTGGAAAGAAAATGTGGGATGTTGTGATTCTCCGTGTCATCTGGTCGCTCACCGCCCAAACCTCAGTGGCTTTTTAGAAGAGAAACTCTTCAATCACCTGTTGTAACCATGCACTGCTGCTTTGTTGCAACAACGTGAACCACATAATGTGCCTGTAACCACACCATAGCTTACCTTGTGTGCTGACTTGCAAATTCAACATCGCTGAAAGTTACCATTTGTTCCTGGTGCAGGACGACACGGAGGATTAGTGGCATACATAAAATGACAATGAATTTTTAAAATTTAGATGCAAATTTAACTGACAATGCAACACTTTAAGTTACCCTTCATAAAGGGTTTATATGTTATAACTAATGGCTTTACTAAAATTAATTAATTCTTAACTAATGCTTTTTAATAAGAACAACTTTTGGGTTGCCAGGTTGTGACTGCTGTCTGTCCTTGCTTTGTCTGCTTTGCACTTTAGCTCATCATGAACACTCCTCCAGTGGTCCAGAGGTCAAATGGTACCTCTGACCTTCTGGAAAATGGCTTTGGAGCTGGACCAAAATGTATTGGTTAACAGCTTATTAGCAAACCCTTTATTGAAGATGCATTACCATTTAAACTTATAGATGACTCACATAGAAAATTGGAAATTCTTGACCCTTTATTAATGA